CTATGTTGCAGGCATTCATGACCCACGAGCCTACAACGGTCATTGAGAATCTCCAGAGCTAGAGCACGTAGCTCAAGTAAACACGAGCGATGGCTTCATTCCTGTTTAACGCCAACGTCTTGCTGGACACACGGGTAGGCCCGGTGTCCAACTCGGTGAGAGCGATTTAATGGTCTAGCTAACGAGTACGCTGACGAAGCTGTGTTTGCTGTTATATTACACCCTGTTTTGGCTCTTTAGCCATGAGAAGCAGTGTTCTACACAAGGTGACGTTACCAATAGCAGCTGAAATACAGTTTAAAGAGGTTTGGTGAAAGCACAACTTCATTTTCACTTCAAGATTTGTTGTTTTCTGCACCTACTTAGCGACAAGCGAGGCCAGCGATGTTTTTCGAGCCCGGATCCCCGTCAATTTCTTTTCTTGTGGAAATGCTGGGTCATTCGTCTCGGGATATGGCCGTCTGTCAGCAGCAGGAATTAGGTCCTCGTAAGTGCCTATGCGCTTTGTTGTGAACCGCGACGTGCCGACGCGACTGCATCCAGGGTTGCCTTGATTGGCACTTTCGTCTTCATCACCATCTAGGTCACCACCATTGTAAGTTCCAAAACTTCTTTCATCTGCGTCATCATCACCTTCATGACTTGTGATTCTAGACGTATTGAGAATACTGCCCCACACTCCAATCGTCTCTTCGTCTCCGTCATCGCCAAACTCTTCCCAGTCAAAATGATCAAGATATTCTTCTAACAGGCTTCCACTAAGGCTGACTGCGGTCATTTCGGTTGTCAGCGAAGGACCGGAGTTTGTGACAGGAGTCGAAAGGTGAGCATTTGTACCGTCATTTGGAGAGCGAACTGGTGGAACATTCTGACTGGGAACATCGCAGACAATCGATCCTCCACTCGGTGTACGTCCAGGTGTTGCGGTACACCTTGGTGTAGCAGAGCTGCGAACTAAACTCGAGCCACCTTCTCTTTCAGCAGGAAACAACGTTCGTTGTAAAGCCGGCGAAGCAGTTGCAGCTTCGTGGTGGAGGTGACCGGGGGTATTAGTGCAAGCCTGAGGAACTGGTGTACCTGTTATGGAGGCTGCGACCTGGACCGGAGTAGATTGTGCTGAGGGTTGAGGAGTTGCCAGTCGCGGTCGTTCACGTGGATCAATGGTCCGAAGCAGCTTTTTAGATGAGGTAGGTGCCGACTTTTCACTCCGATTCTTTTCGCGAACATACTGACGCATGACCTGATGCTTCAGGGTCTTCTCAGTCGCCATTTGATTTCTCTTTGGCGTGTGTATGAGAGCAAGCTCACTAAAGAGGCGTTCGCAGGTCGCTGTGTTTACTGCTATCGCCAGAATGGTGAGCGCCAAGAGCGGAAGCTTGCTGCTAGGCTTCGACTTCCTTTCGTACTGCCAGAATTTTACAACCAAGTCCGAGCTGAAGTCTGTCACTCGGCTTGTTGTATAGCTCCCCTCTATCCAATCGAACACGTCACCACGCAAGGTGCTGTCATCGTCTCCGATAAATCGTCGGTAGTAGTATTGCGCAAATTGACAGATATCATCCAGCTGGGTAAGGACAGTTGAAGGCAACTTTCTTGCTTCGGATACGTATCGAGGGTGGAGAAAATATCCTAACATAAACAATGGCTGCTCACACGCGTTCCATCGAGTCTCAACACATTCCACAAGAACATGACTCCACTCTGTGGCAGCGAAACCAATGTACACGTCCATGTATGAGCGAACAACATCCGCGACTGTATTCTCATCTCTTTGTAAGCGGAACGATGCAGTACATAAAGGTCGCACAACCTTCTCGGCGCTCTCCAACTTGTTCCAGAATTCACTGTCAGCCAAAATCCGTAGTTTAGAAGGGAGATCGCTGTCGTTCCTGTACTTAAAAACCAAGTCTTCCAGAGCTCCGCGCGCGCGTAGGAGTGACGCAAAGCACGCCTGCATTGAGTTCCAGCGCGTTTCACACAACGTAAAAACTGCAAAACTGTCTCCGTAGCGATTCTCCATGGCCTCAATGGCTCGGGTCAGCCATTTAGAGGTAGACGTATTCAGAAAGCTCGCAGCACCAGCAGCAGCTTCTGATACCTGCTTAAAAACAGTTTTGAGAACTGCTTTAACGAGGTTATTCACGTAGTGGCCAAAGCAAAATAAAAACACAATATTGGGATATCTGAGTGCTAAGATACCTCGCGCTCTGCGGCATTGACCAGCATTATCGGTCACGGCTGAGCCCACATTCCACTGAGACGCAATCAACTCTTCCATGACATCTTCCATTTGTTGGGCAATTGCTAGCCCATCGTGACGAGAACCGGTAGGCACCAACCCATGTGTCATCATTCGACCAAACAAAGCAACTTGGCAGCCTAATACATGCTGCTTTGCAATATTTTCCCACACATCCGACAAAAAATTAACTCTGGCACCACTTCGATTCTGAATTTCCATAACGTGATTACGCTGCTCAGTTGAATGCAGGTCAGCATACTCGTTAAGAACCCGCCCGCCTAAAACTTGGCGACTTGGAACGGCGCCAGTAGCTCCACATCGAGCGCTCAGAAATGTAAGCAATCGCTTGAACGACATTAACTCCACAAAAGAGTCCGGTAGCATCGCTTCCGCCTGGAACTCCAGTAAGAGTCGCCAGAACATCCGCTGTTCTGCTGAAGTAAATTCAGGTGGTGATGCACACTGCAGCTTGTTAGACCGGCTGACCTCGTACTCGCTGGTGTCGCTCTCCTTATTCAGCAACTTGCCGGTGGCTTGCACGTAGTAACTGCAATCAGACAGATGCTTCTCCCAGGAAGCTTTTCGGCCGTGAATGCTGACAGGAAATGGGACTCTGGCCTTGTCATTTACATGGGCAACGTAGCAGTACTTGCATATTGTCCACCACATGGTCTTGTTACATTTCTCGTTTAGTCTGTAGAAGTTCGAGCTGAGAGAACTTGGAGGTAGACCCCGCTTGGGGGCTTCTGCAAGATCGCTTTGATGGTCGGGCAGCAACTCCATGAGCGACACGAGCTCCCAGCTTTTGACAGGGAACTCGATAAGTGTAGGAATGACGGCATGTCGGCTCCAGCTGAGTTTTATACTTCAAGTAGATCTTTTTTACGTCAACAATGTAAAAAAGTCTGTGTTAAAGTGTTTTAAATGCTGTAAAAAGCGGTTTTTACATGGAAATGTAAAAATGTAAAAACAAAAATGTCAAAACACTGCTGCTGTCGAGTTCCTAGTGCTACTATTTATGTGAGTTGAATGTGGGAATAGTCGCTACTACCGAAGTTCTCGTGGCAACGACGACAGACGACCATACTCGTCGAGTGGCCAGTAAAGGTTTCTACACTCTCCTTCGACCAACACGAGGCACACGCTCGGTACATGCAAATCTGACAGCGCTTTGACCTCCGCGTAGGAGTGTCCAGCAGCTTCATCCGAAGGCGTTTAGTGCATGCCACGCATCGCGAGTTACTTGCCTCTTGAGTATCACGATATTCTTGGCCGGAGGGGTTGCTATAGCTGCATCGAAGGCTGTATTGGCTAGCTTGTTGTTGTCGCTGTTGCACCAGATCAGGAAGCTGATGAAGGCTCCTGGCCAGGGACATCAGTCGTGAACGCACGGTTTGAGAGTCAGCGTATCCCTCCGGCATGTTTTTCGTGGCAGTAAATGTGGCGTGGAAGCTAACACGAACCCGAGGACCTCGATGGCCTACAGTTTGGGCCAGAGGTTCGACTAGATACGTTGCAGTGATGCCATGTAGTTGAGTCACGCGCTCTTTCTTCATCTTCCCGGCGGTCAATTCGCTTTCAGGCATAGAAGTCATGACAATAGAAAAACCAGTCGGTTCGTCAATATTTACAGACGAAGTCGAAGAATCTGACGAGCCGGTGGTCGTGAAAGAAGTGGCGGGGGCTACCGAACGAGGCCGAAAATGCTCGAGATAGCACCACTCTTCATTCCGTGAGAACCTACGTGATCTGGCAAAGCAGGCCGTGCGTACTGCCACGTGATCCTCGGCGTACAAGGTGAAATCTTCGCTATCTTTGCCTTTATCTTCACTATCGTCAGTCTTATCAAAGGCTCGCCGTTGAACCTCGTGGACGATGGAGCCGTAGATGAACTGGTCTCCAAGGAAATCACGAGCAACCGCGTTGTATTCACTTTCCGTCAACGGACGCAGCAATGGCTCAAGCTCATAAGGTTCGCAGGCCACTTCTCCAGTAGTGAGCACTTCAAAGTCTTCACCGCCAGTTCCCATCCTTCGGGAGAGCAATGCGAAGCCCGAAATCTCTTTACAGTCCCACATGACCGAAGGTACGCGGAGCAGTCTCCCCCTTCGACTCTCCTGGCTAGCGGTACAAGCGCGGTGGATCAATTCAGCGTCCGAAACGCACACTTTGCGTGACAACGGCACATGTCCATCGGACTCGAAGCCCTCCAGCGACACTGCCGGCGACGGTTTGTCCGCTGGAACCGTCCGCATCGAGCTCGTCAGATGAGGTCGACGTCGAGACGGCTCCATCATATTCGGGTGCCAACACGACTCCCCAAGGTCACCCAGGACTTCACGATCACCGTTACGGTCATTGTTCTCCTTACGGCAGGACAGAAACGATAAGTGAGGCATTGGAGATACGAGTGGACGAAGCGAGGGACTTGGTGGTGTCGGCGAATTGAGTTGTGCGTTTCCATGTAGCGTTTGAGCTCAAGCACAAGCAGAAAGAGATGTGGTTGCGACGTGTTGGACGAGTACTGTAGAGACTTTTTGATTGCACTGGACTGACGCAGCCTTACGGTCGTCGGTCGATGTGCGGCCAGCGAGCAGCTCAGAATACAGTGAAGAGCACGCACGCGTCGACGCTAGTGGCCAGCATTGCACCCTTCTTGCGCTGTTGGAGCGAATTGAAGAGCATGAGAACTACTAAAACGGAATGAATCCAAGATAGTGGTCAGCACGGTCCCACCTTGCAAACTGTATTTTTTCATTTAGCGATTGTATGTTGCGAAGCTCAGAGTTTAACCAGCAAACTGTGTGTTTTTTTATGCAAGTTTGTAAGAGTCTAGTTGAAGTTATTAAAGATTTTGTTAATCATTTTGTGATTTCGATTTATTTACTACAATATTATGAATCCGTGTCCATGTACTCGAGCACGAGGTTTTCTATGCCAATGAAGTCTCTTCGGCCAAGACAAGGCACTGCCTTGAAGGCAGCCCCACATTAACTCGTGTTGGGCGGTACGCTGGCCGTTGTGTGCAACAATACACGTTATAGGGTTAAAATGTCAAGCTACTACCAAACTATTGAATCGTTGCACTATTACCCAACATGTTTGCATGGGTCACAACGTCCTACTCGTAAAGCGTAGTACCCCTCCGAATGTCGGTCGTTGTCATCACGAGAGTACTTCGCTAGTTGCGTCTTGCGATGCGGCCATCGCAAGGGAGCACATGTCGCTGATAATTTTTTGCGAGAACATTGAGCTGCGCTGCACGATATCAGCAGGGATCCAGTAGATCGTGAACCCGGAATCGAGCCGAAATCGGAGTCGCAGCATTACAACGGACATGTTGTCCCTTGATTGTGGTTGTCGACTCGCCACGAACGTCGTCGATATTCTTCGTTGACTCAGTAAGGTGAATTGTCTCGCCTTCAATTCTTATCGTCGACAGAGAATTAGTCACCGCTGATGACAACCGGACTGGTTCCAGTCAGTGATTGCCAGTGAACTAAGTTCCACGCGCTTCGGCTTGAGTCGGACGGATTCCTCCACGCGCACCCGACTTGGTATTGCGGACAGGGCGGCTTGGCTGACCTCAAAGGGTGTAAACTTGCGTTTACAACAAGTGCTTTCGCACAGCACAGGCTGAGCTAACCCACCTTTGTTATAGTTGGCAAAAGTGAGAAGTAATAAACATTTGGCAGAAAGTTGCTGCGGCGACCTCATGGAAAGCAGCATGATACATATGAATGGTAAACGGAGAATGTGCTGACAGAAAGATCACGAGGAATAAAAGTTTGCAAAACCCTGGTGTCGTGGGGCTCAATATCAATGGATGCGTCTTGGCGACGATCTTCACCATCACACAGTAAACGAGGAGATAACATCCAACTCGAGCATTAGCTCGTTCAGATTGATAAGACCACGTTTGTCGATGCACTGCAGTCTAGCCGCTTCTTGGCGACGAGCTATCCACCGGATTCAACGGGTAAATTCGCTACTAGACGCTTTCAAGCACACAGGTTTTGCCATCTCAGAGCACAGACGGAAATATTCTTCGACCGTATCAACGAAAGTTAATTATCTTCGTGCTCGAGCTCGATGGCAGCAGCCTCGGAGTCCAGGAGCATTTTATTCACGACCACGAAGAATCGATCGGTAGTTCTCTGCTAGATCATCAAAGCTATGTATTGATACGAATAAATACTAAGTAATGCATCGTTTCGCTGTTTCAATTCCTACATATCTTACTGGCTCTGCAGCTTCGCCTCAGCCTTGACTCGGATGACCTTGGAAGCAATCTCTCCGAACCGAACCAGCGTGTCGTACTGTGACCGTGTGATATCCATCGCTTCACTGTGCACACAGCAAATGGAGCCCACCATGATGCCATCCGGACCCACGATCGGGATGCCGCAGTAGTATTTAACACCTTGGCGTGTAACGGGGTTGAGATTGTAGAAGCGGACGTCTGCCTCTGGGTGGCGGATGATGAACGGTGCCTCACCCATGAGTAAATGCTGGCAGAAAGTGTGTTCACGAGGCAGCATGGCGTGCACGAAGTCGCGAATGGTGCAGCTCAGAACCAACTGATGCGTCTCACCAACGATCGTGATCATAGTGCAGAAGAACCCCAGTTCCTTGCTCAGGAACGAGCAGATAATATCCAGTTCGGGCATCGGCTCCTTCAGATCCATAAGGCCGAGTTTTTCAATACTCTCAAGTCGAGCTACTTCGTTCTCCGGAACAGGCGCAGACGGCGATGCGTTGTCCATCGGATGCAGTGGATAGTTGCGTTGCTGAGCATTAGATAGCACACAGTCTTTCACCGCTGGAGCCTCGCGAGTACGTCGATCGAAATACTCCTCCACAGCTGACATGTACTGCTCATTGTCAGTACTCTCGTCGCTGTACGTACTTTCACTAGAAGTCTCCGAGGGATTAAGCAGCATTCTGATCAGTGACACAGCAGCATTTCTCGTCGTCTCGACTGCCAGTTCTTCGCGTAGACTTTGCCCCAGCGACTGGGAGGACTCCGAATCTTCGAAGATCTCTACCGGGCCACGACGACCACGCTGAACGTGAGAGAAGTCACAGCGATCAACCCATTCCAGACAACGCATGCAGACGCCCATGGCTGTGACGTGGCCGTTGTTCGTTTCCACGCTCTCACGGGACCAACACGCCGTGCACACGTTGTATGCACAGAGTTGACACCGACGAGCAGCTCGTATGAATGAACTGAGACGGATTCCTTTAGTACACGAGATGCAGCGCGAGTTCTGAGCTTCGATCTTGGGCATAGGCACATTAACTGACTGCTGTGCGAACACTTGAGTGCCAAGTCGTCGACGACGTATCACCGCTGGAAGACGAGGGATTCCTCCTGCCAAGGCGAGGAGTCTACTACGAGCCATCTTATCACTAGCATGACCGGGTACAGGCGCTTCCTTCCATTTGTAAAGAGCGTGGAACATCACACGCAACTTGGTTCCTTTGCCATCACTGCGATCCTTGGAGACAGCCGGCACAGTATCAACGACAAGTAAAGCCGTCACACCGTCCAGTTGATCAACGCGGCCTCCCACGGCTTTACCAGCAGCTAACTCTTGCTCCGATAATGAGAGTAGAGACACTGAAAAGCCTTGCGATGTATCAGGGGCAGACATTGAGTTTGTTAGAGAATCAGTCGTGGGCTGGAAATACTCAAGGAAACACCACTGCTCGTTGCGTGCCAACATCCTTGATCGTGCAAAGCAGCCCGTCCTTACTGCCAGTTGGTGACTATCTGGTAGCACACCTTGTGACTGTCTTCCGTCCAGCGTTTGCACCACAGAGCCATAGATGAACTGGTTGCCGTATAGCCCCTTCATGGCGGCATTGTATTCGCTCTCGTCCCTTGCACACAGCAATGACGCCAGTTCATGAGGACTGCACGCAATGCTGCCCACCGTCAGCACCTCGTAGCCCTCACCTTTTGCACGAGACAAGAGTTCAAAGCTTTCGTCTTCAGAGCGAGAGCCAAGACGAATGCACGGCGTGTGTTTAACGGAGTCCCAAGAGTCCGACGGGTCTGTAAGCGCACGCTTGAGCGCCACCGCCGAGTTGGCATTGTGTACTCGGAAAATGAGCTCCTCATCCTCGACCAGCACCTTCCGTGACGGGTCTCGGGGTGACGAGGCAGCCGTGCACGCGTAGCTGGTCGATAGTGTGGGGCTACGACGCAGACTCTTGAAAGGCATGATAGATGCTTGCACTTCGGTGATCGACAGGTACGTGGTAAGTTTGCGTTTCTATTTGTTTCTGAAGTGAAGATTTGACCGGGAGACGACGGTCAACTTGCTGGAAGATCGCTATTGTTAGCTTTAGCACCAAATTAAAAGTGAGACGTACAGCGGACGCGGGTCCTGCTTGGCTTGTCTAGAAGAGGCTGCCCGATTGTGAGGGAACACAAGCGAAGCCTCGAGTGGAGGGACCACTGGTGCAGTGCAGCCTTAACATTTTTTTTCAGACAGACTGTGGCCCTTTATCTCATCACATGTGGTGCAAGTCGCCAGAGAGTAATAGTCTCACTGCAAAGGAGCGTTGAATCCTTCGGTGGCGGGCTCCGCTGCCCACACGAATGCGAGATGCGGCCCAGTCTATCGCACGTGCGAGCGAAAGGATTCTGACTCAGTCACATCGAGTCAGCGACAGAAGAACTTCACTTAACTTCATGTATTCAAGTGCTTGCATTCTCAGAAGATCGATCAGTACGGAGACCGTGATTCTCTCCGAACTCTGGATACGCAGAAGCCTTGAGGATGGAGCCAACGCTGCTCGGAATCCGCCGAGTTTGCGCTTCAAAGGACGTAACGTTATAATTCTAGGGCTAGACGCGTGCCGAAAGAGGTCGCAATGCTCTCTCGCGCGGAAGAAGGTGCTTGATCTGCATCAAGATACAGAGAGAATTCCTCTAAGTTGTAGAACAACAGCTCAAGTGCACGCTCACTTCAACATGGTGGATAAGCCCTCCAACTCTGCGAGAAACTGGCGCAAGATGAGTCGCCAGTATGAGTCGCGCTTTTCGCGTCGTGCGATAGTCTCAGTAAAGGCGGATGGCGCTGCAATTTTAATGGAACCACCGTAGTCTGCGCCATCATAGATAAGAATCCTATTAGGATACACGTACACCTGAAGACAGGCCCTCTCTCGAACAAATGTATTGATTGTACATGAATAACGCTCTGTAAAGCGTTGTAGTGTATCTGCATTTCAGCAGAAAACACGTCAAAACTCGCCCCAGTGCTTCACAGTGGCGGGAAGACGAATCCTAACTTGGACGGAACGAATCCGTCGGCCTCCTCCCGGAGGAAGGTCGCGAGTTCCGCGCGCCTTTGTGCAGTCTGTCGACTGACGAGATCAATGTCCACAGCGCAAACCCACTGCACTACGTCAACATGGCGATTCACCATAGCCTGTAGCAGTCCTTCAGTAGACACGAAGCTGGTCTCCACCACGACTGGATCAGTGGCAGTCTCCGACTCCTTCTCCATCTTGGCTGTAATTTGGGGAACCACCGTAACTTGGAGCCAACGTAGCACACGGATTTGACCGTAACCAGCAGCAGCATCCGCCATCGTCTGGATAAGCTTCCTCTTGCGCGAACTATCTGGAACTTTACGGAAGAACGTGAACTTCTCGTGCAGCCACGTCAGTATCCCGATCTGTCCCCAACGCGCCGCTGCAATCAATGCGTCGTTCCAGATCGAGAGTCTGCCTAGTTTAGCGTGCAGTTCTGCAGCCGGTACGTTGAGGAAAATCTCGCAGTTGCCACAGATCCAAGTCACGACGTCCAAGTGGCCCATAGCACACGCCACGTGAAGTGCGTACTCCACTCCATGTTGCCGGAAACGCTCCTCAGTGCGTACCGGTTGGAACTTGAGGAAGACGTACGTGAGGTACGCGAACTGTCTGTACTTGACACCCCACTCTACAATAGACGAATCGCCCATCAGCGTCGAGCTGTGTGTCTGGAACCATTGAAGAGCATCTCCAGCCTTGGTGTACCGCATGATGGCAGTGAAAGTCTGTTGTGTGAATAACTGCGGGTGCTTAACACTGTACAGTTGTTTCAACACGAACAGATCTCCACGCTGCGCAGCCCAGAGCGGCATCCACTCGAGATTTAATGCTGACTCAGGACAGTACTTGACCGCGAGACGTACGAACTTGGTCTGCCAATATGGACTCGTCTTGGCTGGAAGGGCCCACGCAAATGGGTCGAAGCCAGGGCGTTTACCGGCAGTAGTTGTTCGGACCCCGGCAATGCGATTGGCACCCGTATTGATTGCAGGTCCCAGCTCACTACCGTTGGTAGGTGTAGTGACAGCAGGCTCAGTTGGTGTAGTAGCACCGTTTGTATCACTGCTGAGAGCGACGATCTCCAGCGCTTCCTCGTCGGGTGTTCCTCGTCCAACAACAGAGCGTAGAACAATCTCGCGCTCCTTCATCGATAGCGCGAAGCTTGGAGACGCTAACTTCTTCTGAAGCAACCACTCGATCATGTCAAAGTGACCAAGAGACGCACAGCGATACAGTGTGCTTCCATCCACGACATTCAGTGGCCGTGCACACTCAGCCGAGCTGAGATTATCGTACGACGATCGCCGCTTGAACGACGCAGCAGACAAATCAGAAACCATTGACTCGATGGCGTTGGAGGTGGCAGCACGGTCTCGACGCTCTCGTACTAGCACAACCTCCTCCTCTTCTTCTTCGACAGGACTATCCGTTCGCTTCTCAATCCATTCTGCCATCTCAACATTCCCAGTAGGAGCTGCAGCAATCAACACTTGAGGTGACCACAGTCCAAGTCGCTCGACGACGAAGGCTAAAACGTCGACGTTACCGCTAGCCGCTGCCTTCTCAGCCGCCGTGGGGGACAACGTATGCTTCTGTTCTACTGGAATCCGATCTGTAATGTATCTGACAAGTTCGAAATGACCCGATCCAATAGCAGCTTCCAGTGTACGCTGGTCCACTGACATCCTCATGTCTTTATGCAGATATTGAAGCGTCTTGATGTTTCCCTGCGCTGCCACACTGGGCATGAACGCAGGCGAGCAGGAAAACCGAGGAAAGCGAGGCACGAGCCATCGCAGCACGTCCACATGCCCATTAGTGGCCGCCAGATCCAGCACCAACGAGCGGCATCCGTCGCTGCTGCGGTTCTGGTGTAGCCACTGCACTATCTCCAAGTGTCCGTTGCCTGCAGCACTGCACATACCCACAGCTGTGCCTCCTTCGCGTCGGTTTTCATGCAGGAACTTGACCACGTCCAAGTGTCCGTTTGCTGCTGCCATGTCCATTGCGAGACTGGTACACGGCCATCTTCCGTCCTCGTGGAGCTTCTTGACCATGGCCAAGTCTCCCTGTGCTGCTGCTGTGTCGATTGCTCTGTACTTTCGTCGTCCAAGGGAAGTACCGAGTGCTTCAGGATCCTCCCAAGACAGCAACGGATCTCTTTGGTCGTAGGCATCGGCCAGTAGTCCTGTCCTAGAGGCGAAGACCTCTCGAAAGCATTTCCGCTTCGGCATCACGGTCACCCAATTGAGCACTTGCAGCTTGGCCTCGAGTGGTTGAACCATGTAGATGACCACGTCTGTGTCCTGTTTCTCCTGTTTTTTCTCCTGGTCGAACAGCCACATGACGACTTCGAGGCGTCCGGCTGAGGCAGCGTACTCCATGGCTCTGTCTCTCTCGTATTTGCAGCAGCAGTCCAGCCACTGCACCACCTCTAGGTTTCCCTGTCTCGAGGCCTCGTACATGACCTCGGCTGGAAATTCGTACGGGACGTTGCGTGAGCTCCAGGCTAGCGCTTTGGCCCTATCAGAGGCGTCCTCAGGCTTCCAGATGACATCTCTCGCTGGTTTCTCTACGCTTAACAGCGTGCTATGACTCAGTCGGAAGCGAAGAAGCCGTTGCACTACCTCTGCGCAGCCGTGCGCCGCAGCACAGTGTAGAACGCTCTTGAAGCGACGCGACGCGTCGCCCAAGGACAGCAGACGCTCGTGTGCGTACAGGAAGCGCACCAACGCCTCATACTGCGCGTCCAGTGCAAACACCAGCACACACACAGCATCGCGCGACGTGAGACACGTCACCACACTCGTTAGAGCTGGCTCGGAGCCCAATAGCCGCCGCCAACGCCGTAGGAAGCTCGACGAGCTAGGCATTAGGATGGTGGCCGGAACGTGGCAAGAATAGCTGTTGGTGACAGGTTGGTGGCGGCAGCTGCACGAAAATAAAAAAGAACGTTGGTACCTGATACCTTTATTTTGATACATTTGTGTTAAAAACATAAATCTTGTGTAAATATGTCCTTTGAAGATCTTAATCAAGATGGAGCCTGTGGACGAAGAAGCCTCACAGCAAGAAGAGGAGGAAAATCCCAGCCTGGATGAGGAAGAGGATGCCGAAGTTACGCCCAATGACGGTGCAGAGGACGCCATTACCATTATGGCTCACGTGCGGGACAAGATCATCCCCATCCACTGCGGCTTTGGTACGCAGCAAGTGATCTGGTTGGGTCACGTGGCCATTGCTCGGTATGATGAAGACGGTGGTACGCAGGGCTGGATGGAGTTTGGCGTTCCTACCAAGGTCATCAAGGATGGTAAGCGAGAGCTCTGCCTCACGGACGTCATCTGCGACGTATTACAAGATCGGAACCACGTGTACATCTCGACGTCGCTAGGCTAAGTGGCTAATGTAGACGAAATACTACAAAAACGTACACATTGGTATTCATAATGATTTCTAGGCTGAGAGAGCGGCTGCGTTTACCCCTCCCTTGTCAGGAAACGTTGGTGTACATACGATACGATAGTCGAGAGGGCTCGATGGACCCCGTAGCGCACCTTCTTCCAGGTGCACCACCGTGCCACTGCTGCTACTGCTATGACTGCTTTTGTCACTGGGTTGCCTGCTGCTATTACTGGATGCTGCCTCAGAGCCGCTAGTATACACGACAGAGACTGATCGTTGGTTGCTCGATTTCGAGAACTCCGACGACGTACGCGGAGACGGAGTCAACGGTGCTAATGACCGACGGAGGTGGGGTGGTAGGGTGTCTAAAGCTGTTGGATACACCATGGGTACTGTGCAAGGGATCTCCATCACCAAGCCACCCGAAAGTCGTCCAACTCCACTCGAGCTACAGCAACTTGCGTTATCCCATGAACGCGCTGACACTGCACGAACCACTCCTGTTTTTGTGCCTATGGGTGGTGTGCACGGGGAGTTTGTCATCGAGTTGCCACCTACGTTTGGTGACATGATGAAGTTGGTGAAGGATTCTAACCGTGTAGATGTTGATGGTTGGCTGGTAAAGGTGGCTCCACTCCCATCCAAGGACGCCAGCATGGTACTTAAAGTACGGTTGGACTCGACCAATTGAGCATTGCGCTGGTTCTGAATCTGTAGTTGCGTGAAGGATACACTGTCGTGGTGGTCACGTGAGGGCAAGGCAGCAGCGTCGTAGATGAGTTCCTTGATCACGCGTTGCTGGAAACGATCCGCGTACTGTCGCGGATTCACCACCGAGATGCCATGTCGATCTTGCATCAATAAGTAAACACGGACAAAGTGTTCGACACGTTTGCGAAGATTCCATTGCTGGAGAATGTCGATGAGGCCAAGATAGTACAGTCCCGGTCCGTGCACCTCGTCCACACTCATTCCTCCATGTGCAAAGGGGTGGAACGATTTCTTGATGTTATTGCTACTGGACGAGCAGTAGCAATTCCGGCTGAATTGGCTGCCACCGCTGCTACTGCGATTGCGAATGAAGCTGGAGTTGCTGAAGATGGAAGAGTCGCTACTGTTGCTGCGGCCACTTCGTGTCGAGACTCGAAACTGACTGCTCATACTGCAACTACTATCATGACGAACAAGCTTTGGCAAGTCGAAACTATCGGCGGACGAATAATGCGAGACGTTAAAGCTGCGGTGATGAATACCCACGAGAAGACTGTAGTCGATACAGTTGATACTGCAGAGAAATTCCGAGTCGGCTGTCAGTTGAATGGCAACTGCACGTGCGGTGGAATACGGCAATGCCATGTGCCTATTCCAGTTGAGATCTTTGCCCACTTGGTCGTACTGGTGGTTCATATTCCCTTCTCCTCGGACGTTGCAGCGCTGGTCGTGGCTTCCTCCTACGGTGTACTCAGCGTTGCAGAACTTGCACGTAGCGATCGTACCCGTGGGTTTTCGACCTTCCAGTCGACCGACCCAGGATCCTTTCAAGTCGAAGCGCTCGTGGATTTGCAGCGACGTAGCAAACACGCTCTGCATCACCACGAAGAACACCGTCTTGCCGTACATGGTGAGTCCGTGGCAGCCGAAAAAGCGCGTCATGAACGTGTCAGGATGTCGTTTCATGTAGGTATAGTACTGCGGCAGGATACTCAGAAAGAAATTGAGTTCTTCATTCGTGAGCGTCTTGACCACGTACTTGCGGTCTTCCGTGAAGTAGAAGAAGGCGCCACTCTTGCCTTCACTCACTCTTTCCTTGGTGGTTTGCTGTAAAGAGTTTCGATAGCTGGCACTCGATACTTTAGCCTCCTCTCGAAGTCGACGAAAAACATGAGGAGCAAAGTCCTTGAACACTACACCTTCTGTCCGTGGACCATGCGAGCGGTTGTCGTTGCGGTTCTCCAAGATCAGCTCTTCAATCTGCGTGTAGCTCTCTTTTCGATCACAATAGTCACTTTGACCAGACGAGCTGTCAACAATTCCCTCTTCCAGCGAAGAGTCCGATACCGAGATCGACCTTAAAGACGATTCAGCCGACGCTCGTGCTTGGTGTTCGGCTCGATCGACACTCTGGCAAATCCCTTTGGTCGTGTTTGTAAGGATCTCAAGTCGAAGCGCCCAGTTGATGTTGTCGTCCCAGTTGCCGTCTTCAGGAGGCAGATTAACTGTCCCATTCCTTCGAAGCTGCTCGATGATGCGAAGGATATTGGACGTCCTGGTCCAGATTAGTGCATGAACCATTCCTTTCGCGAGCAATAGACACGATAAAAGATGCCACACACGGCATTTCATGCCACCTTTACTGTCGGAATTCGAGTGTGGCAGCAAGCTAAACACCGCGTAGGTTGCCAGCACCAGTGTCCAGTAGCCAAAGTAACAGCCCACATAGTACTTGAGGTGTCGCTGGATCCGCTTCCGAGTCCGGAACGTATCTGGAAGGCCCTTTACAAATGTATTCCATGTCCGTACAATGGCAATGAGCGATGTGCAGTACACCACGACGATGTACAAGGCGAAGAAAACTCCTGCAGTGAGTGTACCGTTGGAAGCTTCTTCTCCGTCGTGCTCACCGTGTGTGCGACTGAGGATATCTCCACTGGAGCTTAACCAACAGAAGCTGAAAAGAGCGTACCGAGTGTCGAAGTGCGATATTACAGCACAGATCAAGCTCCATAGGCCACCGAAGATGTGGTATTTGGTCATCTGTCCTTTAGACGCAGAGAAGGGATTCTTCAACGCTAAGAGGAGATCTATAGCGAAGATGAGCATGTACGTCTCTTGGCCTGTGAGGAAGAAGTCCACAATGATACCCATATCTGTGCATTTAACCGAGTCTGAAGCCTGGTCCAACAAGTACAGGAACTGGTAGATCGCGCCATACAAGCTCATACCGAACATGATTCCTGCTGGGTGTTGTCGCAGTGCCAACACTCGCCAATAAGTCCCCACGACGTAGAAGCAGCCGATCAATGAAGCCACCGACGTCATCAATGGGAGCAGCATACTCCCCTTGGGGCAATGCGTTCCTTCCAGCGACAAGGCGTCACCTTGATCCATAGTGAAGCTGTGGATTGTTGAGATTCCAGCTAGACCGAGGACTTCCTTTGGATGCGGAAGGCAATCACGACAGACACCAAGAACAGACAAAGTGGGGATTGGAATTGTGGTACCCTGCATTGAAACAACCTGTGAGCAGACGGAGTCATTTTGGTGCGAAGCTACTAGTACGTACCAGAGAGCCAAAGCCTCGGGTGGCGGGCGCGTAGCAAAGCTCTCCTTTTGCTTCTCAGCGGCTCCTTTCAAGTGTTTCTTGCCGACCGCACAGGAGCGGGCGCCCAGTGCGCACGAAATGGCGTTCGTTGCCGCACTTTCCAAAAGACGAGCAACCGTTACGACGCTTTCTTCTACCGTTTGTTCCAACATCTTCGCTTTTTCAGCGTCGGTGGTGAGCTCTGGTGAGCGAGTTACGCTGCTCACTGACTATCTCCGACACGCTCAACTGGCAAAACGAGGGGACACGGAGCATAGAGATCGCTATCCTTTTATCTAGTGGGTTAGATCCCTGAAATCGTTGACCTACATTGTCCTCTGGTAGCGGGCGACTTGGATCTCCCCGACAGTGGGTTCACCCCACAAGTCTCACGTAGCATTCGAGTTGAAGTCGATAGGCCAACGCAGAGTCGCGTCGTGACGATCTACAAGTTCCCCCAGCGTTCCTCGAAAGCCACCGTTTCGCTTCGGTTCCGTGACTGACTCCGGGCTTGTAGACTCTGCCTTCACTTTAAGCTGACGTCGTCTATCACGCTCGCTGCCATTTAGCGCTGATATCTATCAAGCAGCTTGCACGCCAGAGAAGTTTACTCGAGCTTGGCACAAAACTTGCTACGTGCGTCCTCGCTAACTAGATTCCACAACATCATGACTGGAGCACCCATAGTCACGCGTACACACATGCACATGGATCGAGGGAAGCGCAACCAGTTCACTGCTTTCGTGCGCTGAGCTCGCCGAAGTAATTGGATAGCTGAACTCATCGTCCGGACGTCGCCTGTGCGGTCCGTCTTCCGCTCTTAACCCGAGTACAAGTCCAGCGTTGGACCGACGCTACGTCTTCAGTGAGTCAACCAAACTCGGAACCGCACATCGAACCACACCGCCAAAGTTCGCTATGCGGCGTTGAGCAGTAGCGGTTTCAATGAACAGGGTACTGGAGACTGCAGAGTTCTGCATCGAGCCCCCGAGAAACAGCGCTCTCAACAGAGATACCTCCGGCGACGGCACAGTCGGAAAAAGGAGAACGAGCCACGAGGTGGAGCGGAGCTGGCATTGATGAAGAGGTTTGTCCTTCTTTATCCTGAACAACACACATCACAGCAGCCTTGCTGACTAGTTGCACCACGCCGGAATCCGCTCCGGGTGCTATGGGACCCCCCCTCGTAGATCTTGCACCGCAACAGCGGCGCATGACGCTTTCACGTCAGAGACTCTGAGTGACGTGGCGAGCGCTCGGAAACGCGGCCTCGTCACTCCAGCGTTCCTTGCTTCTCTATGCTACTTGTATCTTTATCCAGTATGCAGCACGTCGAGCTAAGTTAGCGACTCGCTTAGCGCGAGCCATCTGCTCGAAGTTGGTGCATGCAACGCAATATCCGTGTTGAAGTGCTGTCAATCTGATAATTGTGATTTGGACCAACCAATTCGGACCATATTTCATTGCCTTTGCTTAAATGTGTCTTCCATGTTGCCATCCCCGTAAGCTCATTCCGATGATGCTGAGCCTGGGTGAAAGTGATGAGGCTCAAAAGTTCAGCCTGAACCCCCTGAATTTCGCCCAACCTCAACGTTTGGTGGAGTGAATACTCACCGACAGAGCCTATCTCGTAGCCTGAGCACTTGTCCTTCCAATCATCGGCGGATGCGCATTTGCTGCTTGGGGTATGCGGCCAAATCCTTCGTGATTGAAGCAGCTTCAACAGTGCAAATCAACGTCAACAACATCCGTGTCGCAATGATCGCACTTTTCTTCATCAACTCGAAACTAACATACTGCAATCATTTCATCACATCAGATTGCGGAAAAGAAAAGCAACCCGCGATCCTTCCTCAGATTCGAATTTGCCAAGTCAAGCACAAGACCATCACTCCTGCACCATGACCACCCTCAAGATCGTCGTATCCGGCGCCGCCGGCCAGATCGCCTACTCACTGCTGCCTCTCAGTACGTCCCTTGGTCTCCCCCTTGTGTTTTCTCCCTAGCCTAACGCCTTGCCATGTTTGCAGTCTGCATCGGCCACATCTTCGGCCCGAACCAGCGCGTGGAGCTGCGTCTGTTGGACATTGAACCGGCCCAGGAGGCGCTCGAAGGCGTCAAGATGGAGCTGCAGGACTGCGCCTTCAACCTGGTGGACGCCATCATTCCCACGGCCGACCTGGAGACCGCCTTCAAGGACGCGGACGTCGCCATTCTCGTGGGCGGCTTCCCACGTAAGCAGGGCATGCAGCGCAAGGACCTGATCGAGAAGAATGTAGCGATCTTCAAGGCTCAAGGAGCCGCCATCGACAAGTTCGCCAGTCGCGATGTTAAGGTGCTAGTCGTGGCCAATCCGGCCAATACAAACTGCCTCATCGCCATGGAGAACGCGCCCAGCATCCCACGTCGCAACTTCTCGGCGCTCACGCGTCTGGATCACGAGCGCCTACGCTCGTTCCTTGTGGAGAAGGTCAATGAGACTCAGAGCACTAAAGTCACGTCCAAGGATGTCAACAAGGTCGTGATTTGGGGCAATCACTCGAGCACGCAGGTGCCTGACGTCACGAACGCTGAGGTGAAGGGCCAGGCGTTTGATAAGATCGTTTCGGACAAGGACTGGGTCGAGAAGAAGCTCGTCAAGGACGTGCAGGAGCGCGGTGCGGCCATTATTAAGGCTCGCAAGCTCTCGAGTGCCATGTCCGCCGCTGCTGCCATCGGCGCCCACCTGCGCGACTGGTTCACCGGCTCCAAGGACGGAGAGTTCGTGTCTATGGCCATCTGCTCGGATGGCAACAAGTACGGCGTGCCCGAAGGACTCATCTACTCGTTCCCGGTCAAGTGCGCGGGCAATGGCGCGTACGAAGTGGTCAACGGTCTCCCCATCTCGCCACGCATCGATGCTATGATGAAAGCCACCGCCCAGGAACTGACCGAGGAGAAGGCCGACGCTGTGGAGATTCTGTCGCGCCAGTAAGCAAGATCCAGACCCTGACACTCCGTTCGAGTTATTTTCCTTTATGTGCTGCTTCGATCGTCTATTTGACCATCTAAACCCAATGAATTACTTGTTATTACGTGGATGATTGATGTAAAATGTCAATAATTGCAATTACTCAAATATTTTTTGGTCTATTCCGGTAGTCGTAGCAGTTGCTAACCGATGCTTTTTTTTAGGCAACATTGGAGCTGTATTACTTCAGTGTCAACTAGCATGGCGACGGTGCTGCAGCGTATCAAGGACAAACGGTTGACAGCTGCACAAGAACGCGAAACTCGAGTGGTTTTTGAGCTGGTGACAGAAGGCTCCGAAGTCATGACTGTGAAGCAGCTCAAGTTGTGTCTGCGAGCGCTGGGCTTCAGTATTGCAAAGGGAGAGGCGCAGACACTTGTGTACGAGTTCGACTTCACAGACACAAACACCATCGGCTTTGCGGACTTTCAGAAGATCTTTCTGTCCAAAGTGAGTGGCCTCTGGTCGTCGATAATTGTACACCAAGCTAAGTACAATTGTGATACGTGTACGTCACAGACACTGGAGACTAGCGAACGCGACAGATTTGAGCAGGCATTCAGGTTTCAATCAGAGGAACATCGTGCAGCAATTTCGCGATAATATGGTTAACGCGTTTTCTCTCATGTGCTATTGCAGAGCCATGTCGAATGAGACCGCTGACAAGATTTCTCTGTGTCAGCTCTCCTCGGCCTTGCACGCCACAGATATTTTTGAAATTGTTGATAGACAAGACGAAGGCGACAAACTGATCGACGGCAACGTTCTCCGTCATCAAATGGCCTTACAGCATTACGCTGATGAAGATATCGAGGCTGTGCAAGGATTTCTTGATAATACAGCCGAGCTACGCATCTCCAAAGACGTTTTAGCGGCTTTTCTTCGAATATAATTGCACTACAATAATTTATCAGTTAACCGATCAAAACGAGTCCCCAGTTGTGAGCAATGAGGTTGCGCTAGTCGTCCGTGACAGCTTGGTACGAATGCCGCATTTGGAGTCGTGTAAAGCATACGATATCATGATATCATGTTGAAGTGATCCAAAAATGTAGACTTAAATTAAAATACATCGCTGTGGGCTAGTGCGGTTTGCTGAATCCACTAATCGTTTGAGCCGCTGAACGGTACTATGACATTGTGTTGTATACGACAAGATCACCAATTGTCCGCTGGAGTGAGAAATCAGACCAGAAGCACACAGTATGTTCCCGTGCCGTCAGAGTACTTCTGTCGTGCTCCGCACATTTGCGGACCATACACGCACTTCACTATATAATAGGGTTCATTTACCAAAAAGCCTCGAGGAACAAGGGTCCTCCGTATAAAAAACTAGAACCAGTCTACAAGCGTCGATGGGGTTGCACAACTTGCTCAAAGAGCGTCACGGACGTGAGGTTACAGCCACACAACACAATAAGGCTAGCAGGAACCCCTTCAGAAACACTTTCAGTCCGGCACCAACTCTTTCGACACCTGGAAGCGACGAGCTCGACGCCGAAGCTAACGTGGCCAAGCTCAACAACGCCCTGTCGGACGACGAACTATTGAAACGCGCGCGAGAAGCTCATACCAGTGTTGACTTTGGATCATTAGCAGCTGGACCAGAGTCAAACGGGGAATGGAAGCGCGTGGAATCTGCCGATGGCTTCGCTGTCTTCCGACGACAAGGCTCAATGAACAACAATGGCAAGCAAAGGGAAGGCCTGGAAGTCATGTGTGTTGGCCATGTGGAAGCCAGTGTGGAAGAGATCACTAGTATCCTTCGCTCGAGCTCCGAAGCTGAGCATAACACGGTGATGAGTGGATTATACGATAAAGGTTTCATTTTCGGATCATATGAACGAGAAGTGTCGTGCACAGAGAATCTGGATGACGACGACGATGACGACGTTGATAACGATGAACAACTCGCTGTCAAGACCAAGAGTTTCTCTCGCACGACGATCTTGGGACATAACGAGCAGTGGTGCTACTTCGACTACTTCCAGCGCAAGAAAGACCGTGACGGCTTCGCGATCTCTAAGCGTGCGTTACCACCTTCAGAGGATACTCCAGGACGAATAGTCGGAGACCATTCCCGAGTGGATCAGCTTCACGGATTGAACGCTTCGTACCTCGTTGACAAGATCCCCAACCAAAAAGAAGTGCGTGTAGTATTCCACGCATGGTTTGAAATGGAGGAGGAAGAAGTACAAGAATACTATGCCCGCAAACGGAAGGGATCTCGACGTAGAAGCTATGAAACCACACGATCACAAGCAAGTGCTAGCACATCTCAGCGCCGTAAATCATTCGAGCACGGTGGTCACACCAAGCACAAAACTCAGCTTCGTCGATTACTGGCCATGGCTCACGGTGTCACAAAACTCCCCAGTATGGTGCGTCGTCGCCGCTTTGGTGTTCAAGTGCCGGTCGATTTAAACACCGTGCATGTCACGAACACTCGCTGTCCATGCTGCACTCACAGTTTAAAGCTGTCACTAGCAGTGGCCGCATCAGCGATCACAACGCTAAATCTCGGTTCTTTGAAGACGCACAACAAGCGCTGCTACTTGTGCGGATACCTCGTTTGTGCCGACTGCTGGAGTGCCGAAACCATGGAATGCGCCTCTAGACGAGTAGCTGCTATTGTCGTGTGTACACGATGCCGTGCGAACGTTCAAGCGTGTGAATACTCTGAAGTGTTCTCGGGCACTGCTGCTCAACGAGAGAAACACCAAGGTCCACCTCGTGTCGTTGAGGACTCGGAAAACGCGCCGACTGTGTCGTTGCTGGTCGATTTCTTGTCTGCTTCTCTGTTGAACTCGACTGCTGATAGCACCGAGCATGCGGCGGTGATGGCAGTGATTCGGACACTGCTCCGACAGGACTCGGAAGACGATTCCGACGACTATTCTAGCGAAGAAGACAAGAGCGAATTCGACCGCGATGAACCGCGTTTTAAGATTCTTGGAGAGACCGGGGTGGTGGAAAAGGTTGGAAAGGTACTGAGTGATGAGGAACATCTACCCCCTCTTGAAGCGTGCAAACTTGGAAACGCTGCCGAGAGAAACTACGTCTTGGACCTTCCCGAAAATCCGAAAGCGGACGTTCCGCTTTCCCCGATCCCAAGCAATGAAGCCGATCGAATCGCAAGTTCGAAGGCTTCGGGAATACTGCAACTCGCCGGTATCCTCGCCCCCAAGGACAAAGATGCAGAGTCTAAGGGTGACAAGCCGGATATTCACGACCTGGAGCTACTATGTCGCTTGGCTGTCAAGACGATGGACTGTTCGTATTCATTCGTGACGGTCATGAGTGAGAAAGACGAGCATGTCTTGGCGAGTACACATCCCGATTTCGCCGGCGCCGTCGTGCCACGTGAACAAACGACGTGCCAGCATCTGCTGATGTCACCACATCCGTTCATGGTAGCGCACCATGAAGCTGACGTTCGCTTCCAGAACCATGGACCCACCTCATCAATCCCGATCCGATTCTATGTGGGTTTCCCCGTTAAAGTTCCGCTTGTTGGTGGCCAACCTGGCGACCCGGAGATGATTGCAGCGACGCTGTGCTGCGTCGACTCGAAGCCCCGAAATGAGATCACTCGCACACAATACGCTACGATGACTCGGCTAGCAACTACAACAAAAACCTTTTTACTGCAGAAAAGTCAGCAACTTCAACTAGGACATGCAACCCCGTTGACTGCTTAGAGTCATGGCATCGATTATTATACAACATGCTTATTAATTAAATATGTAAATTAAATTTGTCTACTGACATTCTAAAGCGTGTCACCTCTGTACATGGGGTAAGAATCTAAGATCAGCCCATCCAGCCTTCGAGGCAGCATACAGGTTACAGCTTCGGAGAGACCTGTCTGTCACGCGAGATCGACACCCTTCTTCTTTAATTAACATTAAAAAGAGCGACCATCGGAAACCAAGAAAAGAATGACAAACGCAAGAAGATCAACGGAATTGTCGGAAATATTCAGGGTGCGACGTTGCTTCCAACTTATATTTTTCTGAGCCCACATATCTATACTTATGAAGATTTGTAGAAAATTATTAATACACTAAATCTCCGTCCTCGTTACTTTAGTAAAAGGCTTTATCCACACAACAGAACTTGGAGAATTTTACATACACTTCTGCTATACTGAACTCATCCATCCACTACTGGTAACCCGCGCACGTGTCACGTTTCCGGTTGGTTGTCAGCACTTCCTTCAATCTCCAGAACTAAAAACGCGCCTTCACTGAGACTCACCACACATAAGAACTTGCGAAACTTTTTTATGATGGGTTTCACCAAGGTGCGAGGCATTTTCGAGACGAACAAGCTTAGTCGTCAGCATGCCCGGAGCAGTTCGCAGTACTTGGAATCGAGTAAAAACACGTCCGAACAATCTCGGTCGGTAACAAGAAAGCAAAGCAATGACCTTGAACAAGAAATCGACCAGGCGATTCTGTACAAGCTTCCGTCAGACACTGAGATGCTCCAAAGAGCGCGCGAATCTCATGCGAACATCGACTTTGAAGCACTTGCAGCTGGTCCGGAGAAAGGTGGGCCCTGGCAACGCGTGGAAGCTACCGAAGAATTTATCGTGTTCAAAAGTCCAACCACTGCAGATACCAAAGACGGCCGTCTTCCTGGTCTCGAGGTAATGTGTGCTGGCCAACTTGATGCTTGCGTTGAGGAGGTGGCCAGTGTTTTTCGCTCAAATTCTGATATTGACCACGCAACTACTATGGAGAGGCTTTACAAGAAGAGCTTTATCTTCGGATCCCTCGATCGCGAGGTGCCATGCGCAGAGGAATCTCAGAACCAAGACGATGACTCGAATGCTAACTCTGACGAACAGCTTAATGTGAAGACCACCAGTTTTCTACGCTCAACACTCTTCGGTCGCAACGAACAATGGTGTTTCTTGGATTACTTCAAACGGATAGAGGATCACGATGGCTTTAGGATATCACAGTGCGCTTTACCACCTTTTGAGCCCACTCCCGGTCGTGTTGTACGTGAAAACGCGCGTGTTGACCAGCTACACGGACTCAACGCGTCGTACCTGGTCGATAAATTACCGAGTGATACAGGTCTTCGAGTAGTCTACAACGCCTGGTTTGAAGATCCAATGAAGGACATCGAGACTACCACCTCCAGTAGCGATGCTAGTCGATCTAGTCGCAGCTTTGGGTTAAGCGTTATGTCGTCTCTGAGCTCCAAGAGCTTGCAGTCTCCCTCAAATGGAAACGACCAAAGTTTATCAAGCCAAAGCAGTGATCGACGACGAAGTTCAGGCTTACTAGTAGCTTCAAATTCGAGCTTTATTGGTCTGAACGAAGCTGCAGATGGTAAAGCCCAGCTCCGTCGACTATTATCGATGGCTCACGGGATGACAAAACTTCCTGATCTTATCAGCCGCCGTCGATTTGGCATTCAAGTACCTGCAGATCTTGAAGTTATTCAAGTTGAAAACACACGCTGTCCATGCTGCACGCACAGTTTAACACCGGTAAGGATGTCACTTTCCATGGCAGCTTCAGCTATCACAAATCGGAGTCTCCGGTCGCTTAAATCGGACACCAGACGATGTTATCTCTGCGGGTTTCTCGTTTGTATGGACTGTTGGAGTGCCGAGCGCATGGAGAGCACAGTCGGACGTGTGGCGGAAATTGTGGTGTGCACACGTTGTCACGCGAGTATCAAGGCTTGCGACTATTCTGAAGTGTTCGCTCCTGGTCAGGAAGAGTGTCGGGGACCCGTTAATGTCGTTGAGGACCACGACAATAAATCTCTGGCTTCTTTGCTGACCGATCTCCTGTCCACCTCATTGATGAACTCAACTAGTAGTCAGGACCGGGCAGCCGTGCTGTCGGTTGTGCGTACGCTTCTCCAACAAAGTGAAAAATCTCAAGAAGAAAGCGACGATAGTGACAGCTTTGATGAAGGCTTTGACAAGCTTCACAACGATAATGTCTCAATATTGGAGCTTGATAAATACTTAGGTGATGACAATCAACTACCAGAGCTCGAATCCTGTGTGTTCGCCAACTCACAGAAGCGTGGATACCCAATCGAACAGCCGGATGACCCGAAGATTATGGTCCCTCCAACGATTATCCCGCCTTATGAGCAAGCTCGTCTTCAATTCATCAAAGACAAAGGGTTAATGCTACTCGCTAACGAGCTCGCACCGGTAAATCCTGCTCCTGAAATATCCTTCGAGAATGTGTCCGATGTTCGAGATCTCGATATTCTGTGCCGCCTGGCTGTCCGTTCTTCGGGATGTCCGAATACGTTTTTATCGATCATGGGTACTGAGCACCTTCACATTTTGTCATCGTCGAATCCAGCGTTCCTCCATGCAACGATGCCTCGAGAACACACTGTGTGCCAACACACGATCATGACTCCGAAACCATTTATCATTTCACATCCAGAAGCGGACGTACGATTTCACGAACTTGGGGCTATTAAGGCTTTGTCTACACGTTGCTATATGGGCTTCCCGCTAATTGTACTAATGATTGATGACAACACGGGCACAGAGACGGAAATGCCCGTGGGAACGCTGTGCTGTGTTACTCCACATGCACGCTCCGAACTCTCGCGTTCGCAGTATGTTACTTTACGACGGATAGCCGACACAGCTTCCCGGTTAATTCAACTGAAGAGCCGGCTGCTTCAAGAACAGCAGAGCGCGATGCTTGATAATCCTCAAATATGACTGCCCAACACTGCCCACACACTGTTAGGCAGTCATTTTGAGGTGTCACATTGATGATCAAGTTGGGCCAATACTGATCTTTCATGGTGGCGTTTGGTTCTTGTGACGTAGGTACTTCATCGCAGTAACACAAAGGACACCCCCAGATGAATTTCAACCTAAAGGAATGATCTTTTGCTAACTCTAACGTTTGCACAAGTTAGTTGAGAGGTGTAACTTGCAAAACCATGTTCTAGCTTATTCAAAGTGTAAGCGAAACGTTATTTTTTTTTCTCTCTTTTTGCTAGAAAAAGTAGTTTTCAAAATCTTTAAAAGTGTTCCTAAAAAAATTAAGCTCGCAAATCCTTTTTGCACCTGTGCATATTTGCAAGGATGCCGTGGCAAGCGTCCATGTATCTTCGATAAACGAAGAAAACCATCTTTACGCGAATTTGCAGTTTGTGGCTAGCACCCATAGGTCCATAATAAGTTGAATCGAACAGTTTTCGTCAACTGGTATTTAATTGAAAAAATGTACACACACATGTTCTTGCACAATTTTCCTGCCAGTTTCTCGTAAAATTATTAGCTTGTGTTAAAAGCCCTCTCGTCTCTTGTCAACAAACGCACGGGTGAATCCATGAAACTACTGCAGAATTCCCCTTGTTGCTCAATCGACGTAAACTTCACAACATGAGCAGATGCCCATCGAATTCTATGGATGAATGTTTTGTAAAGCTGCCCTGATGTTCACGCAACGCGTTGCGTTCCAGGTCGCCCTCGGTGGCGAGAACATTACGGTCCCTCACGTATCGTTTTCCTTAACGTTACGCATGCTACTCAGACATAGAGCGTTAACAACCAAAATTTGACGAAGACAGCATCTCACAAAGGATTCAAAAAACTTGAAGAGGTTCTCTCTTTTAGAATTAAAAAAAAAATAGATCAAAATCGTTGGTCTATCATGTCCAATGTGAAAACAATGGCAAGCACTTTTCGTCACTGTCCGTTGGGTTCGCTACCCTCACCGTTGAGCAAATCTCCTGACCTCGTTAAAATTGTCTTGACTTATCATAAAGGCATCATAAGTGCGACTTAATTGCAACATTGGCCTTTCCTCGATCACTTCAACCGCTTCAGGCCAGTAAACGGAATTTAAAAATGGCTCATTCCCGCAAATTAAAACAGGTAAGTTCATTTTGGACTGGCCACACTGGCGCAGTCGAGTGCGAGAACCTTGCAAGACACTTTAATCATCGAGCGGTTTTCGCGCAATTCCATCAGTACCAAAAGAGCGACGAACGGAGAACATCCCCCATCCCCGCTCTCACATAAATACCAGAGCTCTGCTATTACTTCCAAATGAGTCTTGCAAAGGTTCGCGGTATGTTTGAGGATGTGAGTAAGCGTCGACGTCGTGGATGGAATGGCTCCCAATACTCGGAATCTTCCGGTACAAACTTGTTCGACCCCACCCCATCCTTCTCAACGCAGCAGAGGGACGAATTCGACAACGAGAACGCCAACAAGCCTCTATCGGACGCCGAAATGCTGGAACGAGCTCGAGTCTCTCACATGAACGTGGATTTTGATGCTCTTTCGGCCGGTCCAGAGAAAGGTGGGCCTTGGCATCGGGTCGAAGCTGCTGATCGGTTTGTCGTGTTCAAGCGTCCGTCTTCTGCACCAGCAAACGGTATTCGCGTTCCTGGACTTGAAGTCATGTGTGCTGGACGACTTGATGCGAGTATTGAGGAAGTGGCCAGCGTTCTTCGCTCCAACTCGGAATTTGATCTTGCCAGCACCATGGAGGGGCTTCACGCTAAGAATTATATATTTGGATCTCTCGATCGCGACGTACCGTGCTCAGACGAGCAGCAACAGGATCATGAATCCGACGTGAATGCCAGTGAACAACTCAACGTCAAGACCAGTAGTTTTATGCGTACAAATCTCTTCTCACGCAACGAGCAATGGTGCTTCACGGACTTTTTCCAACGGAAGAAAGAGCGGGATGGATTCACCATCTCTCAACGTGCACTGCCTCCTTTTGAGCCAACTCCAGGTCGAGTGGTTGGGGATAATGCTCGTGTAGATCAGCTGCACGGTCTCAACGCGTCGTACTTGGTTGACCAGCTTCCGGATCGAAAGGGGCTTCGAGTCGTCTACAACGCATGGTTCGAGGACGTGATCAAAGATTTTGAGGACTATTTTACAAATAGTGAGCGAAGTATGTCAAGTCGTAGCAGCAGTCGACGGAGGAGCTCCGGTTTGAGTGTCACCTCAACGTCGAGTACGTCCAGTACGCTTCCCGACGAGACCAGTGGTGTTAAAGCTCAGAAACGTCGACTACGGTCGCTGGCTCATGGTATCACGAAACTACCGGAGCTTATTCGACGTAGACGCTTTGGTATCCAAGTTCCGGCAGACTTTGAAATGGTACAGGTAGCTAACACACGCTGTCCGTGCTGTACGCACAGTTTGGCTCCAGTTAAGATGTCATTGTCTATGGCAGCTTCGGCTATTGCAAAGCGAAGTCTTCGCTCGCTTAAAATGGACACGAGACGTTGCTACCTATGCGGGTACCTCGTGTGCATTGACTGCTGGAATGCAGAGTACATGGAGAGTACAGTTGGTCGTGTAGCTGCTATTGTGGTCTGCACTCGGTGTCACGCTTGCGTCAAGGCCTGTGATTACTCAGAAGTGTGCGATCCAGACAACAATACCATCCACAAAGGACCAGTCAAGGTTGTCGAAGATAAACGCGACGATTGTTCAGCATCTTTGCTAACGGATTTTCTAGCAGCCTCGTTAGTGAACGAATCGGCCGGCAGTGCGGACCGTGCGGCCGTGTTGTCTGTTATTCGGATGCTTCTCCGCCAAAATGAAGCCACAGATACTGAAAGTGATGAAACCTACGATGATAGCGACGACGAAGATTGCAACAACGAAAACGTTTCGGTGGACGAGCTAGGCAAATTCTTGAGCGACGAAGACCAGCTACCAGAACTGGAATCTTGTGTAGTTGCCAGCGCTGAGCGCCGTGAATACGTAATTGATCTACCAGATGATCCAACCACAATGGTACCGTCCAGTGTGATCCCAACCCATGAAGACGTTCGTCTCAAAGTCGTCAATGATAACGGACTATTGCTGCTTGCCTACCAGCTAGCACCACTACACTCTATCCCTGAATCGTTCGACCACGCCTGTGACGTGCGCGACCTTGACTTGCTGTGCCAACTAGCAGTACGTGCAACAGGCTGCTCCGACTCATTTGTGACGGTCATGGGCGTTAAGCACAACCACGTTCTAGCTGCTACAAACCCAGGCTTCCACCACGCTGCGGTGCCTCGAGAACAAACTATCTGCCAGCATACTGTCTTGACCACCAGACCGTTCCTGGCGACACACCCAGAGGCCGACGTACGCTTCCACGAGATCGTGGCGGTCAAGGCGCTTTCAATCCGATTCTACGTGGGGTTTCCAGTGACGGTGTCCACACATGATGCTTTTGGGAATGAGGTGGAGATCCCGGTTGGTACGCTGTGCTGTATTGACTCAACCGCTCGTGCTGAGCTCACGCGCTCTCAATACGCAACCATGAAGCGGCTTACAGACACAGCGTCGAGGTTGCTTCAACTAAAGGGGAAACAACTTCGAGACCAACTTGGTCCGGAGACGACGGTACCAACATGATTGTAATTGTAAAATTTGACCACTTTTTGCAGATTCTAGATATACCCCCCCTCCCCCCCCCTTCAAAATAGCTTTAAAAAAGAATAAGACAGAATAGACATGTTCCACTTTTAACGATACGGGGCCTCAATTTTTTTTTCGTTACGTTTGGTGGCACGTCCGTAACGTTACTAGCTCCACCTTTTCTCACTGAATCCTGGACAGGCATATCGAGAAAGATATCATCTAAAATAGAAGTCCACCTTTATCGTCCACTAAGGAATTCCAGCGATCGCACCATTTGAAGTCTCAGCATTAACTCGTAGTCCTGCTACGGTAGATATCGCATCATGAAACTCGGAATTGTACGACGTGTGGTTGAGCAGGGTGGGAAACATCGAAGCTCTCCAGGACCGTCGCAGAGTGACTCCATAGCAACACAACCGAGTGACGCGAGTCTCACTGGGAGACACAGCAAAGTTCCGTCCGATACGAAGATTTTGAACCGTGCTCGAGATGCTCTTGACCATGTTGACGTTAAAGCGTTAGCAGCTGGACCAAATGCTGGTGGGCCATGGAAACGAGTGGAGGCAGTCGATCGCTTCGTGATCTTCCGCCAAGAAGATAAACTCGTCGATAGTGTCACTCGAGATACTGAAGTTCTCTGTGCTGGTCGTCTCGATGCCAGTATCGAAGAGGTCGCTGCAATCCTGTGTCCACTCAGTGAAGCTGAACACAATGCCGTGATGAAAGCTTTATACGGCAAACGCTTCTTGTGTGGCTCCGTGGAACGGACCATTCCCTGCAGTGGAGATACGATGTCTGGAAATAGTGTGAATGGCCAAGAACTCACAGTCAAGACCAGCACTTTCGCTCGGTCTACTATGTTCGGACCCAACGAGCAGTGGTGCTACACCAACATGTTTCAACGAAAAGAGGAGTGCGACGGCTTCGTAATCTCGCAACAATCTTTGCCAGTCTTGGAACACACCCCAGGACGGATGATTGGAGCTCAAGATCGTGTCGTTCAACTGCACGACTTAGCCGCTTCGTACCTGGTCGACTTGGACCCAGGAAGAAAAGGCCTGCGTGTCGTCTACAACGCCAAATTCCAGACGCCAGAACCTGTTAGAAACCGGAGCGCTTCTGATGAATTCTGCCCTCCTAGTCCAAGGAACTTGACAACAGACGTTGAATCAAAAGCACAGTCACGTCGACTCTTAACTCTCGCCCGTGGAGTGACCAGGATCCCAGAGCTTGTGCGTTGTCGTCGCTTCGGCTTCCAGGTGCCAGCTAATCTAGACACCATCGAGGTCTCCAACCCTCGCTGTCCTTGCTGCACGCGTAGTCTATCCCCAGTCAAGTTATCGCTATCAGCTGCTGCTTCGGCTATCTCTCACCGGAGTTTGGCATATTTGAAGACCAATACAAGACGATGTTACTTGTGCGGATATCTCGTCTGTGTGAACTGTTGGCAGTCCGAGCGGATGGAAAGTATGGCTGGGCGAGTAGCTTTGATTGTGGTTTGTACACGATGCCAAGCGTGCGTCGATGCGTGTAATTACTCGGAAATATCGTCGGACAGGAAGTACGGACCCCCTCGAGTTGTCGAAGATACATCCGAAAGCTCCATAGCGTCACTGCTAATTGATTTCTTGTCGGATTCACTCAAGCATTCTACTGTTGGAAGTACAGAGCATTCGACTGTACTTGCTGTCATTCGAGCGCTGTTACAGAACGATCAAGAGAATGACGGAGACGTCTGCGATGATGAAAGGAATGTAGAAGAATCAATAGCGCGAGTTGATCGGTTCCTGGGGGACGAAGACAGTTATCCTCTACTAGAAGACTGTACGCTGGCAAACGCTGACAAACGCGACTACGTGTTAGACTTACCTGATGATCCTGTCACGTCGGTACCTCGTGGACCGATGCCGAGTAACGAGAGTCTTCGCCTTTCAACCGCCAGAGACGCGGGTTTGCTCCTTCTTGCGGATCAACTCGCACCTGAAGTTCCGCGTACTGTGAAGTCTCTGATTGATATTCGCGACTTGGAACTCATTTGTCAACTGGCAGCGAAGACAATGGACTGTCCGATTGCGCTGGTATCGGTCATGGGAGTGAACCACGAGCACATTTTGGCGTCCACGAATCCACAACTCGCCGGCGCTGCTGTGCCGAGGGACCACACTATGTGTCAGCACCAGTTAATGTCCCAAGATCCGTTGGTGTTCATCCATCCAGAAGCCGACGTGAGGCTACACGCTATCCACACCATCAAGTTGCTATCTCTACGTACGTACGTCGGCTTCTCCGTTACGGCTCCGACACAGGACGGGCGTGACCAAATTGCAGTCGGCTCACTCTGCTGCGCTGACATGAAGCCCCATCCAGAACTCACACGCTGCCAGTACGCGATGATGCAGAACCTCGCTCGAACCGCGTCGTTGTTGATGCAGCACAAAGGTAAACAACTCCAGCAACGCGCAGCTCCAGCATAAATACGGTATGCACACACACCGTAACTCGAACTCTAACGCAAAATACAGCATGTCATTCGTTAAACCCGTCCTATCCTCTGCCTACCATGTGTCCAGGCCAGCTCACTCCGTCCTGTTCCTCCTCTTCTCCTCGCCTTGGTCTTGATGTGTCGGGTCGTGGTAGTAACCGTGCCAGCCGCTTGCAGAGTTCTCGACTCTCGTCGCATTTCCGCTCCAGTGCTGCCAGTTTTGCGTTAACGTCATGTGTGTCTTTGTTTCGCGGTTCCTGTTCGTGCTCGGGGTCATGAGGAGACCCGAACGCGCCTTCAAGTTGTTGTAGCCATTCTTCCTGTTGACTTAACTGTGATCGCACACGAGCTTCCAGTGCTGCTCGCTGTCGAGCCTCCTCTGCCAGAAGCTGCTCAAACGACCCGCTCAAACGCGCCAATGAAGCCTCATGTTCACCTGCAAGAGCGGCAAGAACCGCATTAGACGACAGCGCGTTCTTATTCCCGTCTGCGGACGCCCCAAGTGCAGCGTTGATCTCTGCTGTCAGGTCCGCCGTCGCCTGCTGCACCTTGGCGTCCACTTCGTCGCGCAGCGTCTGTACCAGATGCTTTACTGGACTGTGCTTCCCAGGCTTCCCGGTCGGGATGCCCAGCACCTTAGCGATCTGCGCCAGTTGCGACTGGAACGCGCTCTGTCTACCCTCCAAAGTCGAGATCCTGTCACTCAGCACTGTGGCCGTCGCCTGGTCCACCGAGGCCGGTGGGGTAGGCGGTGGCGGCGCTGAGTTCTTGTACTGTTTGGGCACGAACGGCGGTGCGTTGGCGCTCCAGTTGCCGTTGCTATTGCCGGCCGCCTTGACGTTCACTCTGCCGACCTCAATTGCTGTCGGGATCGAGTTCTTCGTCAGCTCCAGCACCTGATTCTGCAGAGCCTGTACCTGTATAGCCATCTCTTGCATCTGCGTCCTCATGGCATCGCAGTTGCATCTGCATCTTGACTGATTATCCGGCATCGGGCTGTCGCCGAGATGCCGGTGCACCGTGCCCAGCACCAGGTGCTCCAGCGCCTGTGCGAGCTCGGAACTCTTACGCGCCACTTGTCCAACAGCACGAGAGGCAGTCGCGGGTTCCTGCGTCGGTGGGGAGGGCGCAGGCAGCCCCGGCGCGCCGCGCTTGGTACCGTACATGGTTGTTACCGGTTGCGTAGGTGGCGCGTGCGTAGTCATACTGGCCGTCGTGGGCGCTGGACGGAACGCCGGTTGAAGATACGATAAGTACGAGGGCAGAGCTTCTTCTTCTCGCTCTTCTTCAGCTGGTTCCATGCGGTTCCAGAGCGCGCGCGAGCCTGAGGCGCCGATAGCGCCGTGCGACGGAGGTGGACTCGAGCCAGCGAAGCCCCACATACCGTCGCGCGTAGAGGAGCCATCATCGTCGCCCGTGAGATCACGACTGTTGAGCCACATAGAGTAGACGTAGGCGGACACGATGCAGGTGCTGCGGGGGTGAACGGAGCGCTGGGAAGAGCAGGAAGCGCGGGCGTAGCAAGCCGTCCGGTTGGCGATGAGCGACGGGCGGACGGTTGGACTGCTGGCTCTGATATCGGCTGTGACAAGACAAACTTGGCTTGACTATGGGCAATAGTGAAGCCAAGAGGTCAAGCGGCGGGACGTTCTGGTGATGGAGAAATGTGTACGAATGGTGTACAGAAAGACAGAAAATAGCTACATTACCAAATGGCTACATTACATGTACCTCGTCACATGCAGACCTAGTCGTAGTTAACTTGGCTACATGTCATGCTGCAATCCGTGTGCACCTCGATAGGTTGGTGTAGCTGGCGAGCCTTCTTCAGCAAGAAAGTTGTGGCGATGCGGGCTAGACGCTTCATCGTGGCGTATTGTCGACGCGTGATCTCGATGTGAGGCGTTGAATCGAGGCAGCAGAACATCCCCACAGTCACCTCTTCATCGCCCGGTTTGGCGCCTTCAGCAGGTACAGTGAGTGGGAAGCCGACGTACGAGCGGATATTTAGCAGCTTAGTTGTCTTCGCGTTGTGGAGACGCACGTCCGCTTCGTGGTGTGCGACCATGAACGGATACGAACCCATCAACGCGTGCTGACACGTCGTGTGCTCCCGCGCCGCGACGGTGCCGGCAATGGCTGGATGACTCTCAGCCAAGAAATGCTCGTGCTTGGCACACATGACGGCTATAAAGGCGTGGGAGAAGCCTACAGTCCTGACTGCCAATTGACACAACACCTCGAGGTCGTGAGTATCAGGCTTTACCTCGATGACATCGCCGGGAGGAACCTCCGGTGCGATACAATTGGCCAGCTCAAGGAGTCTGGTAGTCTTCGCGGCTGTGATACGGGCTGCTTCGTTACTTGGAACGGGAAAGTGAGGCACGTCCGTGTTGGGGTCGTCCGGTAAGCCCAAGAGGTAGTCTCGCTGGTCTGAATTGGCCAGCTTGCACACATCTAACGGCAGCACGTGCTCCTCGTCACTCAGTAGCATCTGGACGTTGTTCATAGCGTCATTACCTAGCGGCTCGATACTAGGACCGACACTGTCGTCGTCACTGTTATCATCGTCTTCAAGCTCGCTTTCGTTGGATTCGAGGAGCATCCGGATCACAGCCACCACAGCGGAGTGCTCTGCACTACCCGAGGTAGTGTTGAGCAACGAAGCAGATAGGAAGTCCACCAGTAACGAGACTACTGAAGTATCGTTCATGTCCTCCACTACGCGAGGGGGGCCACGGTGTTTTTCACGTTCTTTCGCTGTGCCTGCGAACACCTCGGAGTACTCACACGCTTGAACGTTTACGTTGCATCGAACGCAGACTACAATCGCCGCCACACGGCCAGCGCAACTCTCCATGTGCTGAGCCGTCCAGCAGTCGATGCACACGAGGTATCCGCACAAGTAGCAGCGTCTTGTGTCCATCTTGATATGTGCAAGGCTTCGATTCGCAATGGCTGAAGCTGCCATCGCCAGCGACAACTTGACGGGCGCCAAGCTGTGCGTGCAACACGGACAGCGTGAATTGTTGGCATAAGTGGCGCCGAGGTTGACTGGAATCTGAACGCCAAAGCGTCGACGACTTATAAGCTCAGGTAGTTTTGTGAGACCTTGAGCCAGCGCCAATAAACGACGAAGTTGTGCCTTGTGCTTGGAATTGTCGTCGTAGTCCATGGATTTCGAGCGGAAACTCGAGCTAAAGCTCAAACGCGGAGAACTAAAGCTATTGGACATGTTCTGACTGCTGGCACGAGCTCGGTCTGGATTCAGCTCTTGGGGATCGAACCACGCGTGGAGAACCACGCGCAGACCTTTGCAGTTGGGAAGCTTGTTAACCAGGTACGAGGCGTTCAATCCGTGCAGTTGATCCACTCGAGCGTTGCGTCCAGTGATGCGTCCAGGGGTAGACTCAGTGCGAGGCAGCGCACGCATGGTGATAGTGAAGCCATCTCGCTCCTTCTTGAGCTGGAAGTAGTCGAAGTAACACCACTGCTCGTTGTTGGCGAACATGGTTGTCCGCGTGAAGCTCTTGGTCTTCACAGCGAGTTGCTCGCAGTTGCTCGCAACCTTCTCATCGTCGGGCGTTTGGTTACCAGTCGGGGAGGGAGAACACGGCACCTCGCGCTCGTAGGACCCAAAGATGAAGTTCTTAGCGTAGAGCGCGGTCATGGCGTTGTTGTGTTCGTCTTCCGAGTTGGATCGGAAGATACTCGCCACCTCCTCGAGACTGGCGTCGATACGACCAGCACACAAGGTCTCCAAGTCATTCGCTCCTTTCTCGTTGTTGCCGGATGCGCTTTCTCGCCGGAAAATCACAAACTGATCCACCACCTTGATGCGTTTCCAAGGTCCGTTAGCATCGGGACCGACTGCCAGTGAATCAAAGTCCTCGCTCATTTGCGCCGCTCGAGCTCTTTTCAGCATCTCTTCGTCCGACAGCTGCACGTAGTTGCGCATCTTTTCATGCTGGAGATCGTCTTCGCTCTGCATCGTAGACATCGACGGATTCGAACTGAGACTGTTGGTAGAATACGATGATGACACGGACCCCTGCCGGTCGAATATACTGCGAACCGATGACAAGTGCATCTTTGGCTTGGTACAGTGAAGGCAAGGCGTCCAAATCTCGACTGAGGCAGTCCCCACGCCACCAACGGCCCACTACGACGGAAGATGGTCAAATTTCAGGTCGGAGCCCACCCTCGAAACGTCCAGGGGACTTGAAACGGTAAGTTATTTCCAAGTGTTAATGCAAACGGTGAGTAATAAGTCCCACGGAAGATGATAAAGGATGGCGAACCACTTACTGAAAACGAATCGTTGCCAAGTCTTTCGATGTCAGTGATTTCCGAACATTACACGGATCAACCACCCCTATGGACGGTTGTGATCAGCAGTACGCGAGCGCCTGTAAGACTTTCACCGTGACAGCATTGTATTTTTGGGCTGTCCGCCATATGCATGAAGGTGCAGCACAAGCCAACTGTAACTTAGTTTCAGTAGATGTGTCAAGTACCTCTTTGGTGTCCAAGTTGTCGCCTTTGAGTTGGTCATTTAAATGGCACAAATGTGAGAGCTCTGACTGTTTACTCCGACTGGTTTTACTGGAATGACGCCACTGTTCCGTTGCGTCACCTCAGTCAGCGGAAAGCCAACGCAACAACGGAAAGATTACGTCATAAGTCCGCTCTTTTGCAGAGTGGGCGCTCGTGGTGGGCGGAAACCTGGAAGAGGCCAGCGGTTGGAGTGGTTGCTACACGATGGACCGGAATCGAATAAGAGTTCCAAAAAACACATTAAGCACGAAAGTATACAATGGAAGCTGATCGACTTCTTTGACGAATCGCCAATGGCTTATTAGTTTCGACGAGGTACTGTATTGTCGAGGAGCTTCAACGGTTGATAAATTTCGAAATTATTATTTCTCTTCTTCGGAACGCTTGTTTGGTATTGTGTGATTTAAAGAAGCATATATATTTTTTTTTTACAAAATTCCAGGCTAAAAAAACGAGAAATAAAAGAAAGATCAACGCTGAAAATACTACTGAAGTCATTTATTGTCCGGTAATTTATTGTTATTGCAGAACCATGATTTGAAAGGATACTTTGATACTATTATTCAATAATGACTCACGCTTATTTTCTAGCTGGATCATCTAACAACTCTCTGTTCGGAGAATTCTTTGTTTCGTGGGGACGGATAACTTCGAGTTGTTAGGTAATACTTATTAATAGAACTTGCACTAAGGTCTCCGGAACTAATTTTGAAACATGATGTTTCAAAATTAGTTGGAAAAGCATTTGATTGGTGGGATATATTATTAAAATGTATTCACCCTGTTCGTTCGATGACCCACTCAAGGTTTTTATTTGTTTATTGCAAGTTTTTTTTTTTTTTGACCCAAGGTCAGCAATGCGTCGTACAAATTGGTTGGCGTGGATCTTTTTCCTTTTGTTGCTTGAGATTTGATAGATAATCAAGAGTTGTTTTTACAGCCATTTTAGATATTTTTAAGAAAAATATCAATCTTGCATCAATACCCCTCAGGCGCAGCGATATTCTGATATGTATTTCAAGATTGTTTGATTGGGTTCGGTCTATTTACACTTATTTTATACGAAATTCGTGCTGTATCCCGTCTTATCCGGTCCGATGTTAACTTCATTCGATTGCGTTGTTGGCCCCGCATATTTACTTCGTCGTGATTTGGTTTCTCAAGCTTATCGATTTTTCGCAGCCTCCGGATCTACATGTGAGAGGCTAGAAAAAAATAGCATTCTACTTTCATAGTTTTGTCAAGTTCGGAGATGGGTGACATGACACACACACACGATGGACATCTAATTGTTTAAAGGAAGTCTTTGCTTATCGAACAAACATTTTGGAAGGCGGGTAGTGAAAGTTGCACATCAAGATGCTTGGGCTGCTGTGGTATGTTGCAGCCGCCGACTTTTGTGCACCAAAATATGCGAGGAGGTGATTGCGAGCCGCTTCATCGTCGCGTATTGTGTTCGAGTGATCTCAGCACGAGGCTTGGAGTCGATGCAGCACAGCATACCCACTGTCATCTCTTCATCTTCAGGTTTGTCACCATTAATTGGTACGGTCAATGGGAAGCCCAGGTAGAATCGGATCGGGATTGCAGACACGGCGCCTTGCTTGTGGAAACGTACGTCAGCTTCTTGGTGTGTAGCCATGAATGGATAAGGAGACATGAGTGCGTGTTGACAGGACGTTTGTTCTCGAGGCACGGCAGCGCCAACGAACCCGGGGTGAGTTCCAACGACTACGTGCTCGTGCTTTGAACACATAATCGTCACGAACGAATACGCACAACCCAAGGTCTTCATCGCCAATTGGCATAATAATTCGAGGTCGTGAACATCAGGAGCGTCAACTTTCGCATTTGTGCGTGGAACTTCTGGGGCGAAAATGTCGGCGAATTCCAGCAACCCCGCAGACTTAATACTGGCAATGCGTTCGGCCTCGTTTTTTGGTATCGGAGACCGTGGCACGTCAACGCTCGGATCATCTGGCAGATCTAACTGATAAGTGCGTTGTTCAGCATTGCCTAGTTTACAGGCTTCTAGATTAGGCAATTGCTGCTTGTCGCTCAATATCTCACCAATCTTTTTCACCGCCTCCATCTCTTTGAAGTGAGGGACTTGCTCATTGCCATTATCGCATTCTTCATCAGAATCTTCATCGTCTGATTCCTCTTGTCGAAGGAGAAATCGAATCACATCCAATGCAGCAGCGTGTTCCACGCTACCCGAGCTCGTGTTCAGCAGAGAAGTAGACAGGAAATCCACCAGCAATGACACAGTTGAAGTATCGTTCGAGTCCTCCACAACTCGTGGGGGTCCACAATGCTTTTTCCGTTCTTCTGCCGTCCCAACAAACACCTTTGAATACTCGCAAGCTTGAACGTTGACATGACAGCGAGTGCAGACGGTAATGGCAGCTACTCGTCCAGAAAAACTCTCCATTTGCTCTGCAGTCCAGCAATCAGCACACACGAGATATCCGCACAAGTAGCAGCGTCGTGTGTCCACTTTGAGGTGTGCCAAGCTTCGATTGGCTATAGCTGAGGCTGCCATTGCCAACGATAACTTCACGGGGGCTAAACTGTGCGCACAGCACGGACAACGCGCCTTTGCTGAATCCTTTGAACGCATCATGGCTGGAATTTGTACACCGAATCGTCGACGACGAATAAGCTCTGGAAGGTTTGTGATTCCATGTGCCATAGCCAACAATCGACGCAGTTGCGCCTTGTGCTTACTGGTCTCACCATACGCGTATGAATTGCGACGCAGATTAGTGCTTGGATTTGTGTTGGCGCTGGAAGGTTCGTGGCTTCTACGTCTCGGGTTCTTGCGTTTAGCATTGGACTCTCCCAAGTCAAACCAAGCATGGAAAACGACGCGCAGTCCTTTACGATCAGGAAGTTTGTCGACCAGATACGAGGCATTTAATCCGTGTAGTTGATCCACTCTAGCGTTCTCTCCAATGATGCGTCCTGGCGTCAACTCTGTAGCTGGCAACGCACACTTCGAGATAGTAAATCCGTCGCGTTCTTTCTTGCGCTGGTAGTAGTCGAAGTAACACCACTGTTCATTGCGACCCAGGATCGTCGTGCGAGAGAACGTTTTCGTCTTTACTGTGAGTTGTTCACTGTTGTCCGCTGCGTCGTAACATGGCACCTCACGCTCGTAGGATCCGAGGATGAAGCTCTTGGTATACAACGCACTCATCATCGTATTGTGTTCCGCTTCGGAGCTTGATCGTAGGATGCTAGCGACTTCTTCAAGACTGGCATCGAGTCGTCCAGCACACAAGACCTCGAACTCATTGGGTTGATTGTCGATATTGCTGCTAGTTTTGGCTCCCCGACGGAAAACCACAAACCGATCCACCGCTTCGACGCGTCTCCAGGGTCCTTTAGCCTCCGGTCCGGCAGATAAAGCTCGAAAATCCTCGTTGGCTTGAGCTGCTCGAGCCCGTTGAAGCATTTCGTGATCCGATAGCGATGCTGTTGCTGTTGCTGCTTCTTGCTGGCTGTCGTTATCGCTCTGCGTCGATATCGTTGGTGTCGGGCTGACCAAGCTGGGAATATCGACGGAAGAGGGTGGGTCGCCCCAACCTTGTTTGAACATACTGCGTACTCTTGACAGATACATGACAAATGTAGATCTGTTCAAGATGTTCGATACACGAAGTGCCAAGTGAGAGTCAAGACGTGATGATCGCAACCTTTTACGCCTGTCCTCGACAAGTGAACCGCCACGAAATCTTTGGGAAAACCACTTCCGGTCTAGTTCAGACCAGTTGCAGTCCTGGTTTCGACAGAATCCAGCAGTTATCGTCAGCCACAGAACCGCCGACTCGCTAGTCCAAGGCGTGGCGGGGTGTAATTAACGAAGGTACTAAATAGCAGGGTGTTGGTCGCGACGTACCAAGCTCTAGACTGGTGACAGTGGCAGTAGCTGAAGACATCCACTCTCCAACGAGAGTTGATTGAGTCGCCAGTATGATTCACTTAGCTTGTCACGCCGCGTGCGTAGTTATATACATGTATCCGATTGGAGAGCACCGAGTTCCGCCCGGTATTGCAGCCGTCACGGAGCTTCTGCTTGACTGTCGAAGAAGCGTGTCCCTCTGCACGAGATGGCTACACTCATTGCCCTCGAAGATACCTTG